CTTACCAACTCTGAGAGGCCAAATAATTAAAAAAAAAAAAAAAACTCTTTTCTCTTAATTAATTGGCCTCTCAGAGTTGGTAAGACAACTCCCACCTGTTTATGCTCTCTGTATGTGTGTATATATATCTCCTCAATATATGTTCCATTCTATATGCATCCGAAGAAGTGGGCTGTAGTTCACGAAAGCTTATGCTCTAATAAATTTGTTAGTCTCTAAGGTGCCACAAGTACTCCTGTTCTTCTTTTTGAAGGACTTAATGTTTCAGAGTCTCTCACTCCCCCACCCGCCCTTTTCATCTCTTCTCCCTCTCTCCACATGATTTCTGCCTTAAAAACAGCTTAACATAAATATAAGAATGGCCATATTGGGTCTGTCCATCTATCCCAGTATCCTGTCTTCCGACAGAAGCCAATGCCAGATGGTTCAGGGGAAAATGAACAGGACAATTACCAAGCGATCCATGCCATGCTATCCAGTCCCATCTTATTGCTGAGTGGAGGGGATTGCAATATCGTTTCATCCCTTTTTCAATGTGCAGTAATTGCAAATGGTAATGAGTCCTACCCCACTCTCTTCAATTATTTTGGGCTAGATTGTGATAATTTATACTCCGTGTGAGAGAGGCTATTTTATGTGACGTCCCATTGAGGCCAACGGGACTATTTTCAGGGTAAAGTACTACCAAACGTGAATAAAGGTATCACAATTTAGCCTTATATGACTATATCCCTCATCATCTACTTTTATTTGTGATAACAACAGAACAGCTTTGACTCAGGTGGAAAAATATGACTCCTGAGGTTACAGGAAAACCTGAAATGATGCCATTCAATAAATCTGAATTTTGCAAGAGAGCTGCAATACTGTGGATGTACATCTAACCATATGGCTCCTGGGACTGAGAAAGAGCAGCACTACTTCTAAATTCACTGAACTGCAACTAGTGGATGGGTTTTGTTTTTAATTTAAAAAAAGAAAATGGCTCCTATATTATAGGAAAATATTAACAGATGTTGAAACTGGGTCTAGGATAACACTTTTAGGAGAAGATGGAAATGTCTATATTTATTTATGAATTAATTCTAGCCATCAGCCCAAGCTGTTGTGCATTCTGACCACGAGATGTGCCAAGAATAATTTTGGCCTTATCTTCTGACTTTAATCCTAAATTTTTCTGAAGTGTAGATATTCCCCCAACCACATTTTGCAAGTATGTAAGTCTCCTTACTAGTGAAAACACAATCTGGGTTTTGTTTATTTTAAGGTTAACAGTACAGTTTACTTATATATTCTCATTTTCAGGTACTGCCTCTTCTTTTTGAGAGTGTGGGCATATTCTGCCAATGACTGCAGCGGTCAGAGTAAAGGTACTAGCGTTGTATAATACTTCTGAAATAGTCTCAATTATTAACAGATTCCTCTTCCTCCAGCTCAGGGAAGATGAGGGATCCAAAATTCTGGAGGCTGAGGAGAGGGTAAAGAGATCCCTACGGCTGATTAAGGCAGTGATTATGGTAACTAATTAAAACGGAGATGCAAGTCTGAATAGATGAATAGCAGTAGAAAAGGTAAGCGAGCAGGAGACAGAAATGCAGATGACGAACAGGAATTCCCAAGGCTGGATTAAGTGCCTCTCTGAACCCTCTTCTACAGAGAGAGGGAAGTACCTTTTATTTAGTGAATAAGATCCAACTTACATTTTCATAGATGTTTACTGAAATAACATCTAGTTACTAGTCATCATTGACGCTCCTGTTTGGAGGATCATGCAAGAATTAGATTACCGGAAACACTCAAATACACCAGACTTGGTCTTTGTTGCATTTTCTTTCCTCCTCTTGTACTAATTTTAGTTGTTACCCTGGGGGAGTTGGCTATGTGATGAATGGCAAACCCCATTATATCTGAAAGCTACTGTTCAGCAGTGGTTGAGGCACTTGTCATACAGACTGACAAGTCTGAAAACTACTTCATGTTGACCTCATATCTAGCTCAAACCATAAAATTCAAACCAAGAAAGTATATTCAGTAAACCAGATTAAACTACTTTACACACAGACTTGGCATCCAGGAGTCATTTTAATATCACAGCCTAGGGCGGTGGTAGAAAGACTGCATCCATGCTAGAAAAGTATTCAGTTTTCCAAATCATCCACAGTATTGAACAATAGCCCATAACGGTCTTTGTTTTCATAGATGCTATATGGCTATGTCCGCACACTGTGTCACAACACTGCTATTTATGTTCATGCTAACTCTCACAGAGCTAGCACAAGTATGTGTACTTGAGCCTATAATTTAATGGTTTAGTTTTCATTAGATGTGATAGCTTGGTAGACCAAGGTATTTTAATATTAAGAGATATGAATAGAATGTTGCAAAGACATACACTACAATAAAACATGACAGACTGACAAAAATGAGTTCTGTATCAATACAGAACAAAG